AGCCTCTATAGAAAACCTTTTTAATTCTGTGTTTTTGTTGTTTTTTATGTTTTCTATATGGAGCTTATATTGTATCTGAAATAAAGTAAATTATGATAAATTATATATATATATATATATATATATATATATATATATATATATATATACATTTTTTTATTTTATTTTATTTTATTATTATTATTATTTTAATTCTTTCTTGTTTGTTTAAATGTTTGGCAGGTTAATCACAGTATCACAGTGCATGGTAACATTCAGTCCTGTGTGTTCTGCTCCAGTCTCACTGCCATCCATCCATTTATTTTAGATAAATTGTCTTTTCAACATTTTGATCGCTGTTATTTTGACTAATTAGTGCCGTTGTTTTGATACTTGATGTAATACGCATCAAACACTTCACTCGTTTTTTTTTTTTTTTTACTGTAAGCTTATTTATTATGTCTGAAATGTTATGCACTGTAATGTATGAAGGGGTTCCGACACAGCAGTTGTGTGCGCGTCCTGCAGAGCTGTCTGGAGACGCTGTGCGTAAAACACCTGTCTCAGGGCGCACAGCTGGAGGAGGATGAAGACGCTCCCCGCACAGCTGGAAGATGAAGACGCTCCCCGTGGGACATGCAGTCCAAAAAGGGGTCTCTGCAGGCAAATTCGGAAGGCGTATCTGTCGCCAGAAACGCCCACTTTTGGTCTGCAGAGACCCCCTTCTCGGAGCGTGGCGCGGCCAGAACGTCCACTCATTGTACTTTTAATAAATAATCAAAATAAACATGCGCAATGACTTTGGACTTTTAGGGGTGGAGTTAGCGGATCTGAGCGGTCAAAATTATAGAGTTCTAGGATCTTGTTCTGACGGGATCCGGCTCAAATGAACCACTGTCTGAATATAAAAACAAGAGCTGTTCATAACGTATATGTGTAGAACGGCGATGTGAACCGGGGCTTGAGCATCTTAAATACACTGAATCGCGCCAGATGATTAAAACTCCGCCTGTCCACTCGAAGCAGTCAGCTGACTCGGTCTGAATGAAGCAGTGAAGTGGTTCATACGTCATTGGTGACGTCACATGAAGCGAGCTCCGGCCCACTGCTTCAGCATAACTACCCTATCGAGTTTGAAGCATGCTTTGAAGCTTCGGTGTTCGAGGTAACATCACTAGGTCTAACCACACCGGTCCTTGATAGACATCACCAGTTATTGACAATCTGAACCGCAACCCTGATTTTTAGAAAACCGTTCTGATCCTATAAACAGCTTTTTGGATCTTTATCATATAGTAAAGAAATGGCCTTAATGTTCTTATTTTGCACTTAAAAACATATGGGTTATTCCTAAAACTGTATATTTAATTTTGACCCTGTTTGGATTAGAGAAAATCCTCAATAACTGAAGTTTATTGCAAATTCATTAATTGTTCAAATTAATCAATATAGCATTTATACAGTAATGTTAACACTTTTGGGAATTTATTAACTTTATTTTTTTTTTTTTTAAGTAAGTCTCATGGAGCACTTTATATTGTGTTTGAACATAACACAGATGTCTACACTCCCACCTAGCATTTTTACTGAAAAAGAATTATGTAATTTAAAGAAGATGCTATGTTGATACTGTCAGATCTAACTCATTTTTTTTCTCTGTAATTACACAGAGTGAGTAATACAAGCAGACAGTGGATGCACAAATCAACAGCCTGATACAACCTTGGGGGTACAAAGCCCAAAGGTCCTTAAACCTGCTTCTGTTTACCAGGGCCAGAGATTACTGTGACACAACATTAAAAAGATGCTGAGACAGACAAAACAAATTTGATCTACAGATATCTTTTCTTTTTATTGGGGGGGGGATAAATAAAATGGGCTATAATGTAAATGTTTAATTAAATCTGTAAATATAACTTGTTTGGTTGTGAAGCCAACAGCAGCCCAAAGGGGTTGTGTGCATGTTTCCTTGAAGCAGACTGAGCTGAAAACTGAAGTCTCAAAGTCATAATTTATTTGTACAACTGTCTGTTATTTAAAACGTAAACTATTTTTTATTTTGCTCATTCTTGATCATCAGCCTCATTTTCACACAAACAGAAAAAACTATACTTACTGTAAGAGTTTTTCATTATGTTACCATTTTAAACTGCTCCATGATTTCTGTGCATATGAAACAAATACGTTTCTGGAACTATCAGTCCACGTCAAGCTGATCTCTGTATTTACTCTGTATTTACATAAGCTGTTTTTACTTGGAATTGTTTGGTCTTTTTTTCAAACCAAACATGTCAAGGTTTAAACATATCAACTATTTACCTCTAGAAAAAGCAGTTTACTGTAAGGTAGTTGCAAATGTGACCTTTTTTACTGTTGACACTAAATGTCGAGTTTATTCACTTTGCCACAAATTTGTTGCATTGATCATACCAAGAAACACTGAACTGAAAATAAACAAGACACAAGGAAATCTATTATTTAAGTAATGTCAAATAATCCCACACATACAGTAAACTGAAGAAAGTATGCCCAATTGGAATTTATCATTTTTTTAAATACATTTAATTTCTATTTTCAAGAAGTCACTGAAGTTTTTTAAATCAGTCTTTTTATTTTATTTATATATTTATTTTATCAAAATGCATGGAAAAAAAACAAACAAAAAAATTTGCCTCAAACCCTACCCCCTCCCATACCAAATCACCTACACATACATACTGTATGCATCAGTCATCCAGATAAGACTAACTCAATCTCAGATTTGTGCATAAATAATACACAGACATTTATGACAATTACACTATATTATCTGCTGACATACTTTTGATATAAAATATAAAGGGCTGCCAAGGGTCCCAAAATCTCTCAAGAGATCCTTTCACAGCAACCTCCTTTCAAATTAATATGACTCAACTTCTTTTATCCTGTGTTCATATGCAGGGGGATGAGGATCTTTCCATCTGCGTAAAATATGTCTCTTGGCTAGAAGAGAGCCTTAAGCAATCCTATTCCCCTCGTACTTGCTAAAGGATGCTTCCACAAGGCCCACCCCAAACAGTGAAATGAATTATGATGATGGGAACAGTTTTTTCACAGATGCCAGCAAAAGTATTTAATAGATTTGCCAATCACCCCACAGCTTTGGATAAGTCCAGAATGTGTGTAAGAGCATATCTGGAGTTTGTTTACAGCAGTTACATGCAGAAAGGATCCAGGTCAGTTTTAATCTTGGACAGTTTGTCTTTGGACCAATGCAGACGGTACATCACCTTGAATTGAATTGCAGCCTGTCTCAGACAGATTGAGGATGAAAAAATGTTCTGAATAAACTTTCACCAGATTGCCTGATATGTATTCCTTCATGTCCATTTTCCCATTTGAGTTTTAAGATGGTCCAAGCTGGTCTCATGGTATGAACTGAGCAGTGTGCTGAGGACCCTCTTGATACAGTCTATGAGGTGTCAGTCTCTGATGGAGGACATTTGCAAACCGATATGTACCACAAACCCACACATACAGACCAGTATTTGCAGTTTGACTCCCATCACCTTCTGGAGCATAAGTTAGGTGTCATCAGGACTCTGTACCACAGAGCGAACAGCATCTCCCAATAACTCAGGAGCCAGGCA